GCTTGGCCTAGCAGGCTAGAGAAGGGCAGAGCTGAGCGGGACCTCCCAGCAGAGTTGCATTCCAGACAGGCGGGGAGCTGTTCCAAACTCCCACGCCCACTGACTGGCACGTGCAGGTATGGGGACCAGACAGTGGTCACCTGTGCAGCCTCACTCATGCCCTGCTGCTGCTGGTGACGAGCTGGGCCGAGGTTAGGGTCTGAGAGGGCCATGGAGCAGGCCCTGTCTTGCAGGCTGTTCATAGACTGACCCCCCACCCCAACCCTGTGCCGGCCCCTGGCTGCCCAGTCTGTCTCACTGAGTGCCGCAGTGGAGACTGGAGGGTAGGCTCCTGAGGGCAGGTGTGGAGGAGACCGGGGTGCCTGGGGTGAGGGTGCTATGTGTCTGGAGGTGATGGTGGACTAAAGAGAACCTTTACTCTGAGGACAGGACTGATGGCTGCAGAGCTGGTCCAGGGAGGGGCCCGGTACCCCGGACCTTTGTTCCTCAAGCTCAGGGGTGTGGGGGGGATGCCTTGTCCTGGCAACAGAAGGAAGGAGGTCAAAGGAGGCCCCTGGGACTGAAGATGAGAGACAATTAGATAATCCCAAGACCCCTGCCACCTCCCTGAGCCAGTAACTGTTACTGAAGAAGAAAAGCTCCCTGCCCACCAGAAAACCATCACTGCCTTCTCTTCCCCTGGGTGGCGGGACCTGAGCACCCTGGACAGAGCCGTGTGTGTAGGAAGCTCACCAGCGTGTGTGCACCAGCTCTGAGCATGCATTAGTCTGTGTGAGTGCCCTGTGCGTCTGCATTCCGGCTCAGGCACCTCAGCTCTGTGCCATGAGCCCTACCTGGTCATGGTGGGCACAGGGGTGGGGCTCAGGGGCCTTGTGGAAAACTGGATCTCCCAGGGCTCCTGGGCTCACGGTGCTGGGCTGGCCAAGTGATCTGTGAACTCCAGGCCTGCGATTTGCAAGGGCTTCAGACCCCGTGGGACCTGGGCTCTGCATGGCCTGGGCTCCGTTGGGGGTTCATAGAGTCTGAGTAGGGTTGCCAGGCAGACACGCATGCACACACGGAGGGCACTGCATGTCTAAAGAGTCACAGGACGCAGAGGGGCTGTGGTGCAGACAGATGACCCCTCTGGGCGCGGAGGAACTGGGGAAGCCGGGTCTGCCTTCAGGTGGCATCTCACACTCAGGCTGATGGCCGGGCGGCTGGGCTGGAGTGTGCAGTCTGGACAAGGCAGGGCCCAGAGCAGCCTGGCCAGGGCCACCCCTGAGCCTCAGCCCTGGCCAGGGTGGAAGGGCGTCCATGGAAGGGCTCTGCCCGAGGCCTTGTCTCCCTGCTCTTGGCCTCTGGTCAGCTGTGGCTTTTGCCAACCCTGGGGCCCATCCTGGAGGCTGTGGCTCCCTACTCTTGGCCAGGGCAGCGGGGAACATGTGCTGCTGACTGTGAGGCTCTGTCACCTGGGCCTGCCTGGGGGTCGGGCTGTGGTGCCAGCCACCAGAGGGCCGAGGGGCTAACCTTCCTCTCTTCCCTCTCTGCCCAGAACCGGGGGCGATTGGCAGACAAGAGGACAGTCGCTCTGCCTCCTGCCCGGGTCTTGAAGAAAGAACTGACCTCCAGCTTCATAGCCAGTGATGGCGACAGCGACGGGAGCGGGCCAGCCTGCGGGCAGCGGCCTGGCTTGAAGCAGGAGGACGACACACACATCCGGATCATGAAGAGAAGGTCTTTTCCCAGGGCGAGGGCGTGGAGGGCATATGGGCTCAGGTGCCAGATGGGACTTCAAGGCAGGTCTGCAGGCAGCTGGAGGCAGGTCCAGGCTGGAGGGACTGGACCCGGGTTTAGCTTTTGTGCCTCAGCGGAAACATGCCAGTCCCTCCATCTCATGGGACCACAGTGAGAGCCCACCTTTCCCCACGTGGGCAAAGGGCCAAGCCAGGACTGGATCAACATTGTTGGGGAGCGGGCACAACAGTGGGCTGAGGAAGGAAGGGGGACTCTGCCCAAGGGCTCCGGGGAGCAGGGATACCCGGGCAGGGTTCGGGAAGGGGTGCCTGGTCCCACCACAGCCAGGCGAGGGGTGGGGAGTGGGTGGACCCTCTCTTGGGGCAGCCCCTATATACTTGTGCTCATGTTCCTTGGCAGGTGGTGGCTCTTCTGGGTCCTCACTGTCCCATCCCAGGCTTGGGGCCACTCTTCCTGACTTCCCACCTCTCCCATCAGGGCCGAGGAACCTCCCTCTGGCCACTGACTTCTCTGTCCATCCATCCAGAATTTCTAGGCTTCTTTCCACCTAATCTTCCAGCACTTTCCAATGTCTCCTACCCTAGTAACCCTCTCGGACCACAGGACCCCACTGCCAAGCCCACACCCACACCTGGGGAGGTGAAGCACCACAGTCTTCCCCCTGCCTCCTCAGCCCGTGGTCTTTCCAGGGGCACTGCTGTGGCGGAGGACCCGGGCACAGGGCAGAGCCGGGCACGGGGCAGAGCCGGGCACGGGGCAGAGCCAGGCACGGGGCAGAGCCGGGCACAGGGCAGAGCCGGGAGCGGGGCAGAGCCGGGCATG